TTCAATGGAAGCATCACAGAAGAAAAGTTCCTATCTGAACGCAAATCTGTGTCTCTATCATCAGCATTGTAAGCTTCCCCTTAATTCTCTGCGTTTATTGTGCTGCAACATGCGACATTGATGGGCTCATATGAAGACATCCTCACATTCTTATTTCTTACCATCTACTAACAATACCCGTGGCTGAAACTACATTGATAGAATCCGTTCATATGTGATACTGCTATTCAGCACCAATCATACGTTTATATATAGGCTGAACGTAATATTCCAGTAAAGCTTCGGTAAAACATAAGTACATTTCAGAAATCAAAATTTGAAACGTTCGATTGCGTCATAGACATTCTAACCTAAAAATCATTACCATATCTAGAAAGTGGCAAATAAAGCATCCGGTAACATCGGTAGCATATAGCGGTTTATTAACCTCTATGCCAAGGACGTTGTCAATGGTCGATATACTGACTAATTTTCAGCGCCTGCTGTAACGTAGCTCTACGACTGGATTTTTATAAACTGCTGAGTAGTTTGAACAACGTGATCCATAATGTATCAGCTTCGCGCACGCTCGCCAGCACACCGGTCGGTAGTCGTGCTGCTACAGCCGTTCATAGCTGCAGTGTATTGGGCCCTTGAGAGGTCGGACGATAGCATTCGAGTTCGTGCTGCATCCCCCGACGAACGAGTTCCGGATGCCACTTCGTTCGTTGATGGCTGGCATCATTGGCACGCTTACAAAACGGAGGCACACATGAGCGACCTCGGTTGATGGCGCATACGCAATTTAAGGGACAGCGTCCCTCTGACCATGCTGAGCACAACTGAGTCCTCGGATGACGAAGGACTGGCAAATCTGAACGGAAGTACTGTTGACTAGAAAGTGACGCGTCAGCGAGTACTGATGAGCATATAATAAGGTTCGTGTGGCAAGGGACTTAAATGCTGATTGTAAGAAAGGATGGAGGCCATTATGCCTTTGAAAAATGAGGTTCTCGGTAGCTCCCTCGCGTGACCTCTCGTACAACTGTATCGTTGAACTGTCATCACAACTGACGTTTGCCACTTTAGGCAGGTACGTCAACATCTTGCTTGAATAGTCGCAGTAACGGTGGAACAGGGCTTCTCCGCATATGCTTGGTCCAGGCTGTGGACGATGAGACGACGGTCTGGCACTGGCACCAGGAACACCCACAGCGCGATGACAAGCGCCACGGACTGCAACGGTCACCGCCTACCGACCACAATGCAGCTTCTCCACAGGCAGCAGCAGAAACTGGCCGCCATGTATGCTCGCAAGGGACGCAGTTACAGCTGTTCCTCAGGTAGGGACTTAAAAGTTTATTCTGCTCGATCAAGCATGAAATTTCAGCATTCAGCTTTCGTCAGTGTGAAACCTTTGCAGATTTATAATCGGCCTTAGTAGAGAGAGTTTTGACAACTTATTTGATGCGCGTTGTCACGTTTCCTGGAAAAGATCCATGTTCTCTTCTAGTCACAGTCCACCACATAGAACATGAAAGATCTTCGTTGTCCTTAGGACTTATAAAAATTGGTAAAATACAGAGATGTTTTTTACCTCGTTTTCGTCAATGACAACCGTCGATACATAAATTGTCCTGTTTCGACAGACTGATTTCCGGTTCTGCATGAATACTTACGCTTTTGCTGCGACGCCTTGTTAGAAGGGCATTCAAGACGCATTCAATAAGTTGGCTTTCCTCAGCCTGTTAATGATGTAAACCATATGACCAGATCATATTAACCCGTCATTAACTATCGTATCAAGATTCTTTGCATAATAAGCGTGGTGACCGATATGAATTATGTTTATTCACAGAACCGTTAAGAAACATCGCAGAAACATCACATTGCTTTCAGTGACAGATGAGTAATATGAACGAATTTCATCAAGCTTACTTTCGAGTATATTTAGACTGTGACTGCAGTATATTCTTTCCGATTTGTATTCAATCTATGTCGCTAAATACGCCTGTCTAAAGTGCGTGAACTGATCTGCCTCTTCGGGGCATATTTTCATAGTTATCCTAGTGATCGAAGTACTAAGTTCAGTCGTATTTTCATGTATCTCGTGATACCGTATTTCGATTGTTTATTTGCCATTTGCGACATGAAGGAGCGGTTGAATTGTAAATAAAACTTTGGCTGAAGTTTCGAATAATCTCGTTCTGCCGAGTCGCATTTATAACATTTAAATATTTACCCGTTCTATCTGCAAAGGAAAGATTATAGAGGCAATAATCCTGGTAAGGATGAAGAAATGGCCGTTGGTGGCGCAGTTTCACGTCAAACATGTGATCACAGAATTCCTGTTTTAAGCATGCCCTAAAACTTTTGCTCTCCTTGACGACACGTTTTTGCCCTGGTTCCCAATGCTACTTCTGTTTTTGTGACGCGAGATAAATTTCTTCTGCCGTTGACACATAGTTTGTGTACTTATTCAGGTGGCAACTATTTTTGTTCCTGTAAACATTTTTTACTATCAACGTGGCTTTAATTGTACGATGACGACCACTTGCCATAAGACTGCTTGTTGAAAGTCACTTGACTGGATGACTTTTTGTAGTTCGATAAATTATGTCTTTTCCGTTCTCCCTACATATATGCGAATATATTGTAGTAAAATCTGAGAATGGTTGAAGTCTTCAAATCGGTATTGTAGTAATGGACAAAGGAATCAATGGAACGTGTACCAAAGCAGAATTGAAGAGATCCTTTTGAAAAGAAAGGGTGTAAGATTTAAAGAATTCATGAGCGATAACTTAATTTCACTGATGTTGGACAAATTGCAACAGAATCGCGATAATTCTTTGACCAGTTCTTTTGGCTTTTCCAGAATTATGATCTCATATATGAAACTGCCTATTGGCCATGTCCTTTGCTAATCGTACCCGCCGTTGCTGATCATCTCCAGCGTTGCTTGGTCGACATAGCTGAACTCAGTATGTGGAGGTCATTCCTCTGTCCACAACCTGGTGACACGCTAGATGATTCGTAGTTAAGCCATAGGCATGCCATCCAAAGCCCAATTAGCCTCAATAATTTTTATCGTGCGATAGCGAGCGAAGAAAGGAATGGGATTGCCGAAGTATGAGATTGCCAATAGCAGCAAATGTCTGTCATACATTTCGAAATAGTTAATTAAGAAGCCTGTTTCGCTTCCTCGTGCCTTCAAGATAAATAATGCCGGAAAAGAATACTGTGACTTGAATATTGGATGTAACTTCGACGGTCTGTGCGTATTAAGCCTTGAAGATGGTATGGTGACATCTTTTAATCGTTTTGCCTACTCTCTAAAAAATAGTTTGACTGTTATTACTTTATTCAGCCTTTCCATGAATTTGCTTATTAACGCTTCAGTTTTAAGGCAATTTCTTTTCGATTTTAGACAGTTATAAGTTTGATCATCCGGTAAAGCCGCTGGTTGGCGGTTCTCTCCTTCTAGCACGATTCGATCGCTCGTTTTGACGACCTCTTTCGTTTCAAATCCGGTAACACTGGCAGTCGGCTTCCAGTTTCAGCCGACGAGACGATTTCTCTTGTCCAAGCGTGAATTGTGAATGAGAAAAGTGCCTCGTTTTGTGTTCATGGCAAATCACCATCGAACTGCTATTTATTCGAGGTGAAACCTGAAATCTCGCAAACCGGACGTTGAATCATGACACAGCAGTTTTATATCGATGATCAGACAAATGTGATTGGTAATCGAATTATGTAATTGGCTATCGTAAGCGCTTTTATTGGGAAGTGGAAAAACACAGTGACAAAAAGTTGTCCCGTTTCTGCTTACATCCTTACCGACAATGAACTCGCATCTACAGCACGTGACAGTGCTCGATTTGCATTGATGGACGACCATGCGTACAATTAGAAGCGATTATCGTCGCGGTTATGAATTCATCAACCGAAGAAGAGAAGGACTCCAATAAAATGCCTCACTTTTGATTCAATAGCAGATTTGACATCACAGCGCTTCATCACATGTCGGGTAGGACAATCATCGTAATACTGTTTTCTTTACTCGTCAATCAACCGTTTACTGTAAGTAACAGAATCAGAAAATGTCCCAGCTCTTGTCTGAAAATCAAACTTTTATAATATTGTCATGGCAAGGCTAGAACGACTGGAAGGACATCTGAATTTATGAAGTTGGCATATAATGCTAACAGTAGGCACCACATAACATTTAAGTCGTTGAGGAAGTAAACAGATTTACACAGACAGTTTGTGGAGAAACATTCTCGTATATGGCTACAGTGTGTACGGTTCAGGCAATGAATTGAATAATGGATTTTCAACAGAATTCAAGATTCATATTTAGATTTATTTTTCACTTTAATAAACCCTGGTTGAGCAAGAATTTTTACCGAGATTGAGGACAGCAGAAGGTGTACTTGATCAGCGACAGTATGACTGTTCCGGCTGAAGCCACTAGTACTAGTCGAAGTCGTTGGTTTTGTATCATCCTCATCAATGGTTAGCGACCTTAAGCAGCAGAGTAACCCAGTTTTATTGTGTCTGATCTACTGAAAATGTAACTCAGATTGATATTAGGCTACCTTCACTGTTTTGACTATTCGAAGGATACTACGGAGTGTCTGGAATCAGCAGTGACATATGG